GGCATCTGAAGGTGCTTGCATGACATAAAGTGTTAATACTACACTCTTATCTTGCTGTTAACCATTAACCAAGTGAAATCTGATTGAAATTCAATTTGTGCCCCAAATAGAGCAGATTCTATCCATCTTAGTCAACAATTTATGGTGAGTCTAACTGATACATCAAACTTAATGTTTACGTGTCATATTGACCCAGACAAAATGTATAGCAAAATTGTCTCTTCCAAATGTTGCATTCTTGCACTCTGGTTGATGCCATATCATACATGATATCTAAGAGACCACCTATTCTCCTTACCATAACTGAAAATCCAAGATGAGTTGTATAGCTCAATCAGTTTAAAATATTGTTAGAAGTGCCTGCACTACTATGTTTGTATTTGGACAGATTTTGTACAGACCAAGGGTAGTATTCGAACATGTGTAACATTTAAACTATGAACAACTGTTGATCAATTCTTGCTTAGCAGCAATCCCACTGGACTGCTGACCAATCAGAATGTAAGCCACATGCAAGTCAGGCTTACAGTCATCTAAGTATTGGGCTATGTTTTGGTGATATTCAGACCAAGAACAATTTTCACTTTATTATTTTGGTGACCATTTTCTTAACCTTGGATGTAATCATGTAATATTATTATTCCAACCAATTCATTTTGAAAAAGCATGACCACTAGTGCATGGGGTCATTGTATTCAGCCACACAGTTTGAATTGATGGAACACTGGATAGTAGATTGCTATCTTTATTTCTACAGTCACTTTTTTCCAGGATTGGCTAGATTGTACTTACAGAAGGCCCTGCACAAGGCACTTGCTCCAGTTGTCTTGCCTTGATACAACCTTTATCTCTTGTAGTGCTGTAAAACACCAAGCCAGTTGAAAATTGTTTTAATTTATATTATACTACCTTTTAGCAGATCCTCAAAATCTCAGATATACAGCATGTGCTGCTATTCAGATATACAGCATGTGCTGCTGTTCATATATACAGCATGTGCTGCTTTTCAGATATACAGAATGTGCTGCTATTAAGATAAATAGCATGTGCTGCTATTCAGATATACAGCATGTGCTGCTATTCAGATATACAACATGTGCTGCTATTCAGATATTCAGTTTGTGCTGCTATTCATATATATATACAGCATGTGCTGCTTTTCAGATATAGAGAAGTGCTGCTATTAAGATAAATAGCATGTGCTGCTATTCAGATATACAGCATGTGCTGCTATTCAGATATACAGTTTGTGCTCCTTTTAAGATAAACAGCATGTGCTGCTATTCAGATATACAGCATGTGCTGCTATTCAGATATACAGCATGTGCTGCTATTCAGATATACAGTTTGTGCTCCTTTTAAGATAAACAGCATGTGCTGCTATTTTAACATAGATTTGTGTGTTGGTATACAATTTTAAACAATTGACAGGCAGACATCTTGTATATTATACTTTAATGACATAAAGATATCTGATAGCATTTGTTGTTGTAGTTTTCAAAAGAGCGATTTTTTAACTGTTACATGCCAATATGTGATTTGCCCTTTGACCTGGATTGGCAAGTGTAGACAGACAGTCTGTCTATCAGCTCATGCTTGAGAATGGAAATATAGTCAGGTAAGAATTATCTGGTAGGAAAATAATTATCAGGTAAACAAAAAGTAAATATTGTTGCATTATAACTTTTTTGTCTAACTCCTTCCAAGGAAGGTCATTATATTTCATTTTTCTTTTTTCTGCACAGTGTAGTGTTGAGTCAGAAATTTTTGAAAATGTTATAAGGGACTGAAAATAGACACATCAGTTTCCATTCCAATCAGTATCAGAATTTCCAGTTCTAACAATTGAATTTTAAACATTTTCTTCTCAACTGGTATAATTTGTTTAGAATGATGGGTCAATGCAATGCTGTTACCCTGAGCTAAATGGAATTGTGTTGAAGTATCTTGAATTTTTACTTATAGACTATAGGATTGGTTGCAGTTTTAATGTTTGACCAATTTATTGGTAACTGATGAGTATTTTAGAATCTACATTATGCTGCTCAGAACTTAATTAGTTCTTAACACTGACATGTACTTTAGTGTTAAGTTTGTGTTGGGCATAAAATCTGTTTTATTGGAATTTAGTTCAGTCATCACATGACTGTCATTCCACATTTGAATATACTTCTCTCATATGTCCATATATCGTATATAGTTATTTATTTTTATATTGTTTCCTCCCATCATATTCCATGGAGGGAACTAAACACATGTGAACCTCCCATTTAGGAGAGTTTAGAGTGTCTCTTTTCCCTTTCATCACTCACACAAATCTCCTGTGTTCACAAAATTATTAGTGAAAAATTAATTTTTAAAATTTTTGTCATGTTATATTTCCATTGTAGTATTTTTACTGTGATCACATGACTGGACTGGCTTAGCTGGGCAAGACAATGTTGTTGCTAATTTTTTCTTTTGATAATATCTGCATGGTCCACTGGCTCCATTATTTGTAGTTTGTTTAGGTGGATTATACTGTTTTTTGAACAGAACTAATTTGGATAGGATTAAAGATGTTAATTGATTATGGTTGGGTTTCTAAAAACTCATTTAGCATAAAACAATAAATATTACTTTGAATTCTCTGCACAAGATATGCTCTGTTTAGGTGCTTAAAGTTGTAGAGGAATTAGATTCTGTACTATGTTAACTGATTATATTTGTTTTACAGAGGTACTCAAGTGTCATATCACTAGATTGGTTTGTCATTGTGTTGAAAGTTTGTTGAGATGCCATGGCATGAGAATGTCAAAATACCATATTTAAGGGAACCAAACTATCACTAATTCCAATAATGGTTGAAAGTAGGAATTTCACTGGTTGCAGTCATGTTTGAAAGAATATGAACATGTCTTCTGTTCTTCCTGTAAAGCTGATTTTAAAGTCTTATGGTGGCAAAATGGCATCACACATATAAACACCATCACATAAAACCATACTTACCATGATGCAAATGTGCCATCGCTGAAATTCATGACTGTGGAATACTCATCATATATTGGATGTACAGAGACAATATTTGCAAATTTTAGCTGAACATAATCTCCTGTGAGTGACCATCTGGAGACCATGTCCAGGATCAAATTTTTAGGTGAGATATGCATTCGACACTATCAACAGCCATATCACAAGACACAGAGATAAACACCACTGAACTTGATTTAATCCTTTGTGGAAATGAATATAAATGAAACAAAAGTACATGTTTCTAACTACCATTGTTGTACATAATGCCTGGGATGTGGGGTCTTGATATAAGTTTATAATACTAGTAAGTGATAATCATTTTCCAGATTTTATTGTCATTATTAAAGAGTGGTGATAGTGATAATAGTAACTAAGGTGCCTGCAAATTAGGCTTAAAGTCTCATAGGTGTGATGGTATGATGTATATATTTTAGCTGTATGCTAAGAATCTTACTGATGTTCAAACAATATTAGACCCAGACATTACCAATCTTCAGCTGTTCTGGCAGGCAGTAAGCAGTCTCAGGGTTCCCACAGACTGGAAATGATTTAAATTTCTTTATGGATTCAGTAGAGTTGTACTGACATTGTTACATTCCAAAGTAGACACTAAAAAGTACATTTTCCATTCTGATGAAAATTCTGTCTGACTGGAGAGGAAATCTGATCCAATAACTATATTATCTCCCTAAGTATTAGATCAACAATGATGAGGACTGCTGCCAATGTAATGCAGCAATGATAAAAGAAATGCTGAAAGTGCTTGTGGTACATCTAAGAAGAGAATGAATGGCAGCAAGTTATGGTGAAAGGACAGACTGGATGAGATGATGTGCATATTTTAATATTAAAAAATGTAAATTTCTTCAATTGCTATAATTTTTCTCCATGTACATGCTTAAATACGGCAATGAAAATCCTCCCTCTTTTGAGATCAATACAGTAAAACCTGTCTTGTGAGACAACTGCTATGAGAGACCACCTGGTTTGAGAGACCAGAATCTCCATGCACAGATTTACTTATTATATAGTGTTATGAACTGTTATGAGAAACCACCTGTCTTGAGAGACCATTTTTTTTTGGCAGAAGATGTGGTCTTTCAAGACAGGTTCTACTGTACTTCGGATTAGATTTTGGAAATCTCCTGATATGTCCTGACCTGACATGTCTTTTCTGTCACATGTATGGGATTATATTTGTGTGGCTATTACCTTTTCATTACATATGTCATATATTTGTTTTCACTCCATATCTTTTCAATTCCCCAATGATTCAGAGGTTATATCATGACAATGCAGATGCAGTAAGGTGTCTTGCTCTGAGACACACCACTGTGGATGAGCTGTCCTGAAGGTATCTTGCTCTGAAACACACCACTGTGGATGAGCTGTCCTGAAGGTGTCCTGCTCTTAGACACACCACTGTGGATGAGCTGTCCTGAAGGTGTCTTGCTCTGAGACACACCATGGATGAGCTGTCCTGAAGGTGTCTTGCTCTGAGACACACCACTGTGGATGAGCTGTCCTGAAGGTATCTTGCATCCCTAGATCAGATAATCAAGAAGGGCTGCATTTTTACAGGTTTAATACAGAAATATCTTCAGATATGCAATATTTATCAAATGCAAATTTTTGCTACCTAGCAGGCACAAACATTTAGCAGCTTGCAACAAGATAATAATAGTATTGTACCTAAGAGCTATTCAGTGTGTTGTAACGTTTGTTTCGGTCTTTAAAACTGCAGATTAGATTGTTTTACAACATTAAAATTTGTGAGTCTGTGTGAGTGACATGGATCTTTAATGTAGCTTTAACAATGTTTCAGTTATATTACTATGATATCTGCAGTGTGTCAGTTTATAGTGATATCTAGCACTGGGACATCATGACGCAGGCATGTAGCTTATCCTGACACCCCGCCAACCAGTCCTGACACTAACCTTTTAATTCTGATTGCCTGTTAATACCATTTTTATGAGTCTTTAGTATGAATTGGCCAGGGTTTGAACCTGCAACTTCCTGCCTCTGAGGCAGATGCTTTAACCACCAGGCCACTATGGTGGTCTGTGTTGTACTCAATATTTCTGTAATGGGTAGCAAACTACAAAATTAGGTTTGGCACAAAATTTGAGGCAAAACAATATAAAAGGAATACAATTAAAATGGCATGTTTGCTCATCTGGTTATAAACCAGACCAGCTAATGAGATGGTAAGTTGTCTCAATCATGTGGGTTGCATGCCTGCGGTAACATCCAGAAAATGTAAAATAATTAACAATGCAAATTTTTTCTTTACAGCCAACTTTATTTTTGAAAAAATTTAAATGTGATATTGTTTATCGCAGTACTTCTTGTTACCAACATTTCAACTGGCTACCTTTTATATGAGTGTAATTTCAGTATATGAAAAGGTTTCAGTGATGCAGCTCTTGGGCAATGTACTTGTCCTTGTATGGCCCTCATGGTAATCTGAGTTTGAGACACCTGCTCTAGTTGGTCTTAAATGAAAATGGTATATCTTAGCCATTCATTTTGGCTACCATAGTGAGTAGGCATATCAACATGACTTTTGTATTTAAAGTCTCATTATGATGTAAAGTAGGTTCTAAATGAAAATAGTGCCAATATTTCCACCATGGCAGCCATCTTGAAATTATTTTTATTGATACTCCTATGGAACTGAAAGTCCTATTGACATTGCATCTCTGCAAGATATCTTCTTGTGATGCTTAGTTGATTTTACTATTCTATGGTCTTAAAATGAGTTATAGAAATGAGTGAGAAACAACAAAATCTGTAAAATTCAACAAATAATTTATTTTCTTAGAATATAAAGTGACAATGTAAAAACAAGAAACTTACAGTATTGTGAATTAAGTTCCAAATAATCCTAGAATTATAGATACAAGTCCTAAATCAAAGTTCTGTATTGGAAATCCAAATTAAATCCAGCACTGAAGGTGTTGATGTGCCTGTGGTGTTCCATATAATGCTGATGTGTCAAGTCATTTATTTGATCACAGTAATACAATCCAAGAAATAAATCCTTATTTGAACTTTCAATATAAATTCAACTCAATATTTCGAAGAATGTTATTTTTGAAGAGCTCTTTTTTATTCCCAAGAAGAATCACTTTAATTTAGTAATAAATAAAATGCCAGCCCAAATGAATTCCTGGACACAACAGTAATACAGTTGATTCTGTTACGATTTTAAAGCATGATTGACTAATTTTCAAATAAACCAGATTTATATTTTAAACTAAGCTGTAAATAGAGACCCCAGATAAAGGTGAAAAGTGCATTGTTCTAGAAGGATTTTGGTTATAATTAGAAAGACCATCACCAAAATCACAATTAAACATTTGACAATCATTATGTAGTGTCTCCATAAAAATACAATGTTCTTGACTCAGCTTTGGATATTGATCCTCACTTAGAAAAAAAAGTTGTTTACAACGTTGTCAACAATTTTGGACAAGGTCAGCTTACTAATGCCATGTTACATTACCAACAGCATATAATGAAATAAAACTAATTAAATAAATATTGACAAGCAATGCAAATTAAATATACATAACAGTTGACCAAACCTGTTGACATCCAAGATATTACAGAAAAATAATATTATCATGCAATCTGGAAAAATATTCTGCAATGTAGGCTGCCTAGTTAAAGGTATATGAAGCAGCCAAAGGTGCCCTGCAGTTACCCATTTCTGATTGGATGATTGCAGATGCTAATTTGAAATATTGTATTAATTAGCTTGCTCATCATACTTGAATGAAAACTCCACAAATTAACTTAAGATTAAACCTGTATAACCTAAGAAAATTTTTAACCTTTTAAGTGAATGAAGTTTATGCATCACAGTTTAAAGCCTGTTTTACATCTTTTACCTTTATCAGTTATTTTATACACATCTTTCAGAATTTTTATACATTTTTATATTTTAAATTACACTTCATTCTACATTTATTTGGAAATTAGTTTTTTTATGAATGCTTTACCTTTGTCTATTTCTTTTAAATTCAATTTTATATTTTATTAAATTTTTCCCTTCTTGGCACTATAATAGCCACTATTGTGCCAAGGAGCAGAAAAAACATTAATACAGACCTACATGAATGCATTCCTAAATGAACATGATCTTGATATGACCACATGTATGGTGGTCATCTTTAAATCTTGTTATTGTTACCCTGCCTGGGTAGATAGTCACATTGCATTGGGGTTTTTCTGAAACAGACTTTTATGTTATCTAGTTGGTCTCAAATGAAATGGTGCCAGTCTGACATCCAATAATGCCACCATGTGAGCTGTCTAGAAAATACTGTTATCACCATCCCTCTGGAACAGGAATATTGACATCAGTAATTCACCAGAAGATTTTTTATAATGTATTTTTAGTAAAAACAATGCTGGTCTGAATCTAGTGAACTTGAAAATCTTTTTTTTTGTGCAACTTTTCTTGTATGGATGGTTATATCATAACATTGTTTTCATCAAAGTTTCATAGGATACCTAGTTGGTCCAACAATGACAATGGTGCCAATCTTACAATCCAATAGGATACCTAATTGATCCAACAATGACAATGGTGCCAATCTTACAATCCAATAGGATACCTAGTTGGACCACAATGACAATGGTGCCAATCTTACAATCCAATAGGATACCTAATTGATCCAACAATGACAATGGTGCCAATCTTACAATCCAATAGGATACCTAGTTGGTCCACAATGACAATGGTGCCAATCTTATAATCCAATAGGATACCTAGTTGGTCCACAATGACAATGGTGCCAATCTTATAATCCAATAGGATACCTAATTGATCCAACAATGACAATGGTGCCAATCTTACAATCCAATAGGATACCTAGTTGGTCCACAATGACAATGGTGCCAATCTTACAATCCAATAGGATACCTAATTGATCCAACAATGACAATGGTGCCAATCTTATAATCCAATAGAATACCTAGTTGGTCCACAATGACAATGGTGCCAATCTTACAATCCATCTTGAAGACATTTGATAAATTAAACTAGACTTACCAAGTCGTAGTTTGATTGTAATTTCATGAACATTGTAAGTGCCTTGGTAATCACATGAGATGACACTGGTCATATGGCTGGGCTGGTCAGTCTTGACAGCAAAGAAATGGAAGGCTCAGTGTCTGGGTGGGCATGTAATCACCAAGGCACTTATTGGGTTCATGAAATTACAATCAAGCTTTGACTTTGTAAGTCTAGTTTAATTTATCAATTTCACTTCCCCCATAAGTACTTTGTGATCCCATGAGACTGAAGAGTGAGGCTTCCATTTATGGAATAGACTAGCAATGACTAGAAGAAAAAGAAGAAAACTTTTATGTGTTAGTATTAAACCAGATTACCCACATTTACACTACATGACATGAGCATTATAAAATTCTGGATGCTGACAAGACCTTTGTACTGAATTCAGTCTGGTCTGTAACAGGCTTGTTATAGAATTTCCTGAAAATACAGGCACTAGCCCAACCCACTTGTTCCCCTATAGCACACACAGGCTGCAGAAACAGATGCAACCCTTATGCTATGAGCTGGAAGACTGAGGTATCAGTACCAGACTTATAATGTCTTTATCCAGTTTTATATTGTGCTTTTAGCAACTTTTTTATGTGGAGATTGTTTGCTGATAAATACCTGTGTTTCAGAATTTCTCAAAAGTTTGGTCTGTTGCAAATAACACATTAAACAAGACATAACACAATGTTTTGCCATAGGGATATGTTTCAGAAACAAGGGCTCCACATGTTTACTTGGTTTGGATTGTTTCAGCAACAAAGGACTGTATTTGTACACTGTTAACACCATATTTAATGCTATTTGTCTGCATAAGGTGAAGCATCTGACACCTCTGTCCTGTTAACAAAGTAAGCAGCATGACTAACTTCATACATAGTTCCTGCAATGATAACTGGTTATTGCCTTGTATAGAGAGAAAATAGTTAAACACAAGTTGTACATTCCACACAAATGAGTACTTTGGAAATGAAGGCTTTGCAATGAACATAAATCTCTTTAAGTAAAATGTTCTGGCTTAGATTAAATTTAGAAGTAAGACTGACTAATATTGAAATTGCAGATCTAGCTCTATCTACATAACTATAACCTAAACTTGAATCTATTAATTCAATTAAAAACTCTATAACAGTTGTTACAGGTGGGTTAAAGTGGATTAATCTGTCCTTGATTTGAAAATAACATCCACTTTTGGAGATGACCCAAATACTGATTTTTAGTTGATGTCCTCCATGAATTGATGATGAGGCAGGCAACCCTTTCTGGTAATCCTTGATTTTTGATTGCCGACTATATAAGTGAAAAACATCCATCTTCAATTTGTAGAGGGGATGTCATCATTGTAGATTGTGTAACAAGTGTACCATCTCTTGTGGATGTGGCAGTGGAAAACCAAGACCGCCTACTGAATGCAGGAGTCTTAGAAAATGGTTGATGTCCATTGTGTGCCACCAAAATAACATCTGCTTTATCTTGGGACATTTGTTGCAGCACTGCTCCCAAAAAACTGAAAGGTGGAAAGCAATAATGATGACTATAATTCCATTGTAAAGAAAAAGCATTAACTCCTTTTGAGTCAGATCTGTATGAAACAATGTGAAAATTGATGATTCAGCCTAGAAGCAAATAAATCCAGATATGATGGCACTGAATACTGTATCTTTTAATTTCCATTCAGAATCCTCATTTATGTTTTTGACAGTCTATCTGCATCACAATTTAGTGTTCCTGGCAAATGAGAAGCACTTAAACAGATACTCCAAATTGTACACATAAGCCAGATATTATGCAATAGTTTATGCAATTATGAAATGTCACCCTCCATTTTGTTCACATTGAAACGGCTACAGAGTTATCCATATAAATGTGCACATGCATGTTCCTCACTTCTGAACAAACAGATTGTAATGTCAAAAAACATGCTTTCATTTCCAAGAAGTTAATATGATACAGTTTTTCCTTCTGATCCCAATGACAC